TGCCGGTCCCGATGGTGTCCGTCTTAGAGAGAGTTCACTGTAGCCTCTTATCGTGGGTGGCGCAGTGCACGCTCGACTCCGGATCGAGAGGTCCGAGTTCGAGCGCTAGCCGGGGTCATTGCGAAGGGCACGACACTACTGTCACAGTGTCTCTCTCTCCACCCAGGAGTATAAATGGCAACTAGTAAACTAGGGCTATCTATAGGGCAGCCTGGCAAAATACTGGGGCGTAACCTACAATGGACTAGCATCCCATCCAGGGGGAGTAGAAATACTCTGAGCCGCTTCATGTTACGGAAACCAGGATAAGCTCCGGCGATATATATACGGGCCACTTTAATTTTGTTTTATTCACACTTTTTTCATATTTTTCACCCAAACGATTTCTTTGCTTCTATTAATACACCTCGTGCAATGCACATGGTTTTTTTTCTTACAGGAGTTCACAGGCAACACCAACGCCAATGAGATGGTCAAAAACGATTTCAACCGACCAATCACTGCACATTTCATTCGCTTTGTTCCCCTGGAATGGAACTACAAACCATGTATGCGGGTTGAGGTGTATGGAACTGCCATCGGTAAGGATTAACCACACTCTCTTCTCTCCTTTAGAGAAGATCAGTAATTTTTTATGTGTAATAATAAACCAAACAGGAACAAGGATGGTTGAAGATGGAGAAGATTAAGACGGATTGCGAATGGAGAACTTTAAAAAAATGGGCAATTTTTTCAAGATGCACCATCCGTTTCAACTCTTGCTCCCGCCTCGATTAGTTTTGTAACTACAGTAGTAGCGGAGCAGGCACTCTTGTAAATTATACATATAAAAAATTGAATAAAGTTGTTGTTGTTGTTTTGTTGTGACGTAGCTCCTTTAAACGTCAAAAAATAAAATAACGATAGTCCTCTGGATTTCATGTTTTTTTTTTTTTGCAGCATGTCCCTGGAAGACCATAATGACAAATGCTGCGTGTTTCCTTCACGTACAAAGGAAAGAAACATTACAAGTGCATCATAGACTGGGTGTGGATGCCTTGGTGCGCTAACAACGTCAAACTTTGACAAAGACGGCGAGTGGGAAAGGTGTCTTCCAAGTAAGTGCTGCGTTCTTTTTCATACAGTCCAACCCTTAAGCGGTCACCCTCGGGGAAATGGCAAATGGCCGCTTTATAGGGGTTGGCCGCTTAATAGGGTTGGTCATAACATAAGGTGTGATAGAAAATCAAAAGATTTAGTGACAATAGAATCACATCAAGACGATAATAAACGTGTGTTTGAATGTTTTTATCAGTCATCACCTTCTATTTCGGACTCTTATCTGTCATCAGCTTTTTCAAAACAAGGCCAAAAAACTACTTTTAATAGGGGTAAATACAATAGAAGAACTCACATCGGGACAGGCCAAAAAGTGGCCGTGGCCGCTTAATGGAGGTGGCCGCTTAATACGGGTTTTATTTACAGTATTCAATTTACTGACAATAGCTTCGGGACTTTGATAACTGGCCGCTTAATAGGGGTTCGACTGTAGTTTTACACGAAGTGAATCAACATCGAATATCTCCTTACACTAAATACATTATCACGCAGACTGGTGAGGGGAGTCGTTTCAATAATAACAGTCTAAATCTGAACTCATTTTTCTTGATAGGAAGCAAGCAATGAATGGATGGAGCCGTCAGAAATCCAAAAGGGAAAGCTAAAAGTATCAAGTAGTACAAGTGTGTACAAGTGTGTTGTACCAGTAATTCGGTGAAGGAAAACTGACTCACAGCTTTCAGTGAAACTAGCCTTAGACAATAAAGAAACTGTTCAAAAAACCCAAGATGTGTTCACTCTGTTTTAATTTCAGAGTTTAGTTTTAGAGCGGTTTTCAATTGAGTGTCGTAAAACCAAAACCAAAGCAATTAGACCAATTACATTGGCCAATCACAGCAAACGTAAACAACAAAACGAACCAATGAAAAGCTCAAAGCAAATACACGAAACCGGCGCCAAGCGCGGGAAAACGCGTGCGACCAAGTCGCGATTTGGTTTTGGTTGTGCATCTGACTTGGTTGAGAAGGTGGAATCACAGAGCGTAGTAAAGCAAAACCAAAGCAATTCAGCGATTACTTTTCGACACTCGATTGAAAACCGCTCTATGCAACTTTATTGCAAACGGCCGTGTTGCAATGACCAAAACCCAAACTAACCGTGACTTGACTTGCATGATTCCTCATCAGACGGTCCGACTCGGTCCCCCACTCCCTCTCCGCAAAGTCAAGCGCGGAAAGGTTGCGTAAGCGCGGGAAAAGTTGCGTAAACGCGCAAAGTCAAGCGCGGGAAAGATTGCGTAAGCCCGCCAAAGTCAAGGGGCGGGAAACGTTGGTACCTGATTGGTGGAGAAGACGGCATCTTTGTTTTATTGGTTGAAGCATGGAACAAAGAGCAATGACGACAACTTGGAATATTTAAAGTCAGGATGTTATAGGCCATCTCCGAGTTGCCATTTGCCTCTGTTTGAAAACGAGTCCAGATACGAAACCATTCAAATGAAAATGAGTTCGATTTTCATGAAATGGGGGGAGGGTGGGGAGAAGAGGAACAATAGGATGACATGAACTGATATTACACCGAAGAACAATGACACACGAATAAGAGCGAGCGTACAAACGTGTTTTTATTAAGTGCAGTGCTTTTCCCTCTATTTGAACACTATATCCCAAAAATTTATAAGATTTTAACGGATACCAAAAGGTAAAAAAAAAGACTACAATGTTGTTTCCCCTTATTCTAACTCTAAGTACGAGCAGATGATCCGCTTCTGGTCTTGAACTGTTGACGTTGAACGTTTTGCCTTTTACGCAGTCAAGTCTTCTTCTGTTTGAGAGAAAGTAATTCAAGCCAAGTAGCTAGTTAGTTTCTAAAGACTGAAACTGTAGCTGTTACTGATGTGGTGTCGCGTTGGCGAGGAAGTAAAAACAATAGAACAATTTTGGTTATAAAATTGGCCTATAAGTTTATTATTTTCACTTCCTCGTCTATGTCATCCACAAGCGGGGCCTCAGCGTCTTAAATTAACACTACAGGTATGCAATGGAGGCGTTTCTTGGATTGTTAAATTTATAGTCAAATGCAGTCTAAGAAAATCAAAGAGTAGGTCAGGAGCCGGGCAAGGTTTCCCTGCAATTCTAACTTGGCATGTTTCCTCTGCAACTGATCCAAACACAAGACTGAATGTAATGATCGCTCGCCAAGATTACTCACTGAAAGTGCAGGATACTGAGACACGGCTGTCCCAGAGAAACCGAAAATAAAGACCCCTGTTTTATAAGAAAGGTATGTAATGTGAACAAACCTGAGCACGTTCCCATTCGCCATCTTTATCGTAGTCGTATGTTGTCGCACACCACTTCCCGCCAAACAATTGCGACACGCATGTAAACACTCTCTCTCCCTCGTACATGAATGGAAACACACAGCATTTGTTGTCAGTTGTCCTTACGTGGCAGTCCTGAAAAAAAAAAGCATCAAATGAAAGCTATCGAGCAGTACTTTCATGTGGTACTGTTTATTATGCTGTACAAGGGTGGTTCTTACTGTGAAGTCTGGATGAAACCCTAGTTTGTGACCATTCAAATGGAAGCTATTGGGCAGTACTTTCACGTGGTAATGTTTATTATGCTGTATAAAGTGGTTCTAACTTTTATTAAAGTATGTGGATGAAACCCTAGTGTGTGACCATTATAATGAAAGCTGATCAGTCACCTATTTTCATGTGATACTGTTTTTATGAGTATCACAATGCTCTCGTATTGACTTACTTTCAGGTTTTCCGTACACCTCAACACGCATGCACGGCCATTTGTTCCATTCCTTGGGACAATCTGGACAAACAGGGCTAGAACCGGTTCAACCAGGTTCATTTTTTAACATGTCCTCAGCGTTGGTGTTACCGGTAAAACCTGTTAAAGAATAAAACAGATCATAACATGTAACTATAATTAACCGTGTTGAGACGTTCAACGGAAAATGTTCGACATGAGGAAATCAAAGTGCTGTACAAGATCGTACTGAAGGTGATTCTTAAACTTTTGAACCTGTGGATGAAGCCCTAGTGTGTGACCATTTCCAGAGTAGTACTTTAATTTATGTGGTACTGTTTATCATGCTGTACAAGGTGGTTCTAACTTTTAGTCTGTGGATGAAACCCTAGTGTGTGACCATTCATATGAAAGCTATTGAGGCAGTACTTTCATGTGCTACTGTTTATTATGTTGTAGCAAGGTAGTTCTAACTTTTAAGTCTGTGGATGAAACCCTAGTATGTGACCATTCATATGAAAGCTATTGAGGCTTTAAGGCCTGTGGATGAAACCCTACTGTGGTAAATGTGGGCATTTTCTGAAACGTGCATTTTTACGGAGCGGTTCTCGTCACCTAAACTGGATATAACATATATATAAACTTAATTTTCGCTATAGTCAAGGAAAAACGAAAGCAATGTTGTTGTTATGTTTACCTAACTGTACCATTTTCTTTGTATGGTACCCAGTTTTTTTTGTCCAGTGATTGTCTGAATTTTCGTATTCTGTGGCGTAATAACTAACAAATGTAGAAGCCAGGCCCTGGGTGGCTACTAACTGCGCAAACTTCAGAACGCTGAGGAAGTTCCACCTGAAATAAGGACGAGTACATTACACTTTTATCAACAACGTCATCGTCATCATCATCATCATCATATCACTACAACAACACAACACAACAACAACAGCAACAGGCAACAACAGCAACAACAACAGCAACAGCAACAGCAAACAGCAACAGCAACAGCAACAGCAAAAGCAACAACAACAACAGCAACAGCAACAGCAACATCAACAACAACAACAACAACAACAACACCAACAACACGAAGACAGCAACACAAACAACATGTTTCCTAACCCTAGCATTATGAGAGAAGTTAGTCATATTGGAACCTATATATTTAGTAATGATAGCCTAGGCTCCCACGAGTCTCCTGTAGCTTAGTAGTAAAGCGTCCGACCTGTGTGCGGAAGGTCATAGGTTCGACATGTGTTTGGAGAACTCGGAATTCTTTTTCCGAGCGAGTAGCTTGCGTCACTAACCGAGTAATATCTTTTCTGCATTGTGGCACCTACCAAGCTTATCTATACCTGTTCCTTTATTATTTTTCCTCTGGGGAAAGGGGGGGGGGGGGATGGTTTCTCCAGAAACGTTTTTAATTATAGACCTGATGAGAGGACTAACAGTCCTCGAGGTGATATTTCGCTGCGCGCTCGCGTGATCTCCCACTCGATTATCCCCGACTGCTCGTAGTCTAGACAGCTCCCCGAGGATGAGACCTTTACTGTTCCCTAACCTGAAGGATATGGATTCGGATCTTTATCTGATGCGTCGGGACAACCATGATCCATTCTGGTTATTCAGTCGCCCTTGAGATGGAAGCGTAATCCGTAGACGGTTCGGCAAACCACGAAGAGGGCAGAAATTCCTTCGTCGGAGATTTTAGAATCTTCCATCCCGAGGGAATTCCCGCGGCAAGCAACATCTGTAACAAAATTTATGGGGAGAGAGAACATGTCGATTTTATATTAACGCCGGCAAGAAGTGCCGGATATATAGCCAACAACAACAATGACTTCGTACTGTGTGAATCAAAAAAAGTGTAAACACTTTGATTTATTTTGACATGATCAAACCGTAGAAGAATAGTCGGAAACTCAAATTTACACTTCGCTTTTTCAGAAAAGCTTTGCGAGCAATAACATAAATACAGGCAAAAATGAGCAATGTTTGGCAAAGGAAAATCTAAGCGTTAAATCAAAGTGTTCACGCTTTTTCTGGTTAGCCACAGCTGGAAACAAAAGAAATAACAATAATGAATAAAGATAAAGGAAGAACAATTAAGTTACATCAGTCCTGGATTGATAGTCAATTTGTGACGTAAATCAAGCATGATAAGTTGGACTTCCCATTGAGTATTTAGGACAGTAGAAAAGGAGTGAATTTCATCTTCAATTTGATTAGATAAACAAGTAGGGGCAGAGTCTATTCAATAGTATAGACTCTGCCCAATTAAGGTATTCCTTAGGGTTTGATCATATCTTCAGACCAATTTCAATCATTAGCCCGGTACGTTTTGGGTTCCGTAATTCCCGTCTCCAGAGATCGCGATCCTTTTGGTCAGTGGTTAGCACCAAGAATCGCGACACTAGCCGGACGCCGGACCTAATGTTTTGAGCTTGCACAGAGTAATTTAAAATTGTCTTTTCTCTTGGCTTTGATTCACCAGCCAATCAGATTTTAGAAAAAAATTGATTCTGGCCAGAGGTTTAGCGATTTTTGGTGCTGACCAAAAGGATCGCGGCTTCAGGAACGGGAAAGGGCAGCTCCAATTAAAATTAAATTGACCCAGTCATACAAAACATTTATACCGGATACTCTTTTTTTTTTAATTTAAAAACGCGGAATACAATCTCTGCTTGCAGAAGAACCTTTTTTTAAAGCGCTATTCGGTTATGCTTATTTTTATCAGTTGATGTGAATTATTTATGTTGGCAATACCTTTACAATCCTTTTTGAATTTCTTGGCATTGGTAGGTGTTCCAATATTCATACTGTGACAAAACAAACAAACAAACAAACAAACAACAGTAAAATCCCTCGCAATAACAACTGAGACAGCATTGCAAAGTAAAGATTTTATTTCCCTACTATATCGATATATGTGACATGCAGTTTTTTAAACTTTCAGTTTTGACCACGCCGCCAAATTAAACAGGACGGATTTATGAGCAGAACAATACTACTTATACTGAAACATCTGTTATAAAAAGAAGCAAATAAAAGTGTAAATGACCTAGCTCGCCACCAGTCTCCCTCTAGCTCAGTGGTTAGAGCATCCGACTGTGTGCGGTAGGTCGTGACAAACTGAATTAACATCGATGTTTCAGTTTTTGCTTTCTTGAGTTTTAAAATGTAGATACTTTCTTTTAATTAAATACGATGAATATGCAAACGTTTTGAAGTCGAAGTAGCACTCGAAGAGTTTCCGATCCGGGCTATGCTGAAATCCAGGATTGCGCCACGAGACAGTACAAGTTGCTTAGCAACGTCTGTGACAAAAACCTCCCACCTCCCTTCGGGGGGGGGGGGGGGGGAGTCTTTCATATAAAAGTGACGGTATCCACAACGACCTTGAAAGCATCCCCCGCCGTCTAAGAAGCTTATCTTGCTTTTATAACAAGTATATTTACCGACTTCTCCGATTGACCATAGTGATGTACAACCTCGCCAAATGTGCACCCCTCTTCATAACACTCGTGGTCGATGTCATCCGTGAAAAACCCCAAAAAGTTGAACGCGTCTTTTTTGTCCAACACGACGTCCTCACGTGCACGTGGAAGCAATCGACCTGCATAGGTAACAAAATTGTATATCAACAAGATTACTTTATTAGCATTGTGTTAGGAAGCATAAAGGCATATATCACAAACATTTCTTAGTTTTATTAATTGTCTACAGTTCTTTTAAGGTTATTCCATCGAAATAAAAGTTACACTGGGAAGTTTCTGAAACTTTCCCTAGTTGAACATTGTGATGTAATGTTTTCAAAATATAGAATAAAAAGAATAGTCACCAGCCCCGCGAAAGAGATATAATCGACTAAAATACCTCATAATTCCTTACAAAATCACCAAAAACACGTATTTTTTTCACGTTTTCAGTGATTATTAATTTGTCTGCACTGAGAATTGGTCTATACTCCTTGTATAGAAAGAAGATGATTACTAGACTTAAATATGCGAAAAAAAATGATAAGTCACACACGCTCGTTTACGAGAAAACGATCATTTGCCTCTCTGGCGAGCATAACCATAATGAAAAAGCCGCCATGTTTTTAATGTGCGCGCGCTAATTACGCGCGAAATTATGCGCAGAAAGGATGCGCAGTTGCAATACTAAGGAATGACCTTAACTGCTCTCTGGCTTCTAGTTTTGACTCACGTCCCCATCGCGTATAAGATTTATCGAGAATGTATTTCTTTTATATGGTATCCTGAATTTTGAAATTCACGTGCAGTCCAATAGTGCGTTTATCCATTTTTGCCAATTAGAACGTCTACTTTGTTGTTTTATTTCGGCTTGACAGAATCAGTCCAGGTTTTTCTAAACTTGTTTAACTTGTTTTAACCATCCGGCATACTTCTCTGACGGTTTATTATACAATTGACGCCTTTTTAGTGTTGGGGTGTGCAGGGGTGGGGGATTTGAAAAGGGGGGAAGGGGGGCGGGGAGAGGGGGGGGGGGAGGAGGTCTTAAGCATTTTACTCCCGGTTCCCCACGTCTCCACCTCTTTGTGCTTTTCCTATTGCGAGGCCTGGGAACGAGGTTGGTTCCCTCCATTTTGGGTATCCAGCTTTCCCCTCTCTTTTTCCCGTCTTCTGTAGACTTCCCTCCCCTTTTACTCCCGGTTTCCCGTCCCCCTGTTACCCCCCCCCCCCCCCCCCCCCCCCCCCCCCCCCCACACACACACACACATTTTGTATACAATGATGCGCCTTACTGACAAGCAAATCAAATAATTCACATACCATGACTTGATCCTGACAGCGCCAAAAGGACAGCAAATGGCACTAATAGCATCATCATTCTGCGGAATGTTTGATCATAATTTAGGTGGCTTGGCGCCCAAAATAATTATGCAGCATAATTTATTCTTCATTGTGGTTTGTTTATTTTGCACAATTATTTTGGGCGCCAAACCACCTAAATTATGATCAAAAATTATATCTAGTAGGTTCAGAGCCACCTTAAATTTTCAAAACTTTAAGGTGGCTGTAAACCTACTGGATGTAATTTTTTTAAACTTTGCTGAATAGTTGTATCTTAGCGTGCTGATTATTTTTCAAAATAAAAAATTAATGGCAGTCACTGTGCTCATCGATAGATATCAATAGATAAGTAGGAACACTTTGTTATCAACTGGCGGAACTGATCAGGGTAATCAATCACATGCACGTTTCAGAGTTGTTTCAAGACGATCAGGAGCTTTAGCCCTTTATCAATATATAAGGCAAATAGTTGTCCTCTACCAACTTTGCATTCTGAATTTTTAAGCCAATTTTTGTTTTCACTCACAATTCAATTAATACAAGCGCCAAGAGTCCGGTTGCGCTAAATTGCGTGATGGAATCTTTGAAATAAACAAAAGAGACACGAGATCAGTCGGCGCTCCAGCGGATCGCTATAGAATTTCAATCAAGCGGCAAAACTAGACCACTTCTAATTTAATGAGTCTCCCACGTTAGGTCTGCACAGATTGCCTTTATCTTCACAATGGAGGCATGCTTCGATGAATTTCAGTCTTCGATCCTTGAGTTCATTGCCATTTTATTTCTTCATCAAACGCCGCCAAGAGAATTGTTGAAACGACAAATCATGGCGTGTTTTGGACGAAATTGGTGTCGAGCCTTGGTTTGCGGTTGATTATCCCGGGACCCGGGGCTTTGACTTGAAAAGGCCTCAGTTACCACTCTAGCTACTATGGCTAACGGTCTCTAGATAAAAAAAAATACAATGGCTAATGGTATCTCGAGAAACACATTCCTTTGATTCGATCCTGGAGACACTTGCATTGTGGGTTGAGACAGGGATAAACTGAGCCAGAACTGTTAAAATGTTGCTACAGGCTTCCCGGGTTATTCTGCAAACTGTGATGCTGGTGTCGAGCTGGCATGGATATGCGATTGATGATCTCTTTTGCTTCAGATATAAAACAACCTCACCACCCATTAGCAGGGTTAAACAAGGCAAAACTGTTTAAATCCGCTGTAGGTTTCGTGATGCAAACATGTTCAGAGTCAAACCTAGATTCCTTTGGATTCCTTTGGGTTCAGATCTAAAACTATGCGGGCCTCACTCTCTAGCTGGTGTAAAAGTGTGTTTTCTCTTTAGAGTACCTCAAATGAGAGTAAAAAACTAATAAAGCTCACCTTTCTTAAGAAGATTATTTTTCTTTCGACTTCAGTTGAGTAAACCGCACCCAAGCTAGCACACGAACT